GCTTATTCGTTTCGTACTTATCTGTTAGGGTTCTCTGCTTATGAAATCTTGCGTGTGGTTTAGGTTACAATTTTGATATTTTCTATAAGACAGGTATCTAGTATAAATTTGAGACTAAAATTATTACATTCTATTAAATTACATGCAATTCTAATTCATCCAACAAATTACGACGAACTATAGAATAATTCAAGATATTTATTATCTACATTATCTTATAAAATTGATAAGAAAAGTTTTCTTTTTATAAAGGTTATGTGTAGTAATGATTGACGGTTTAATTTAATGCTGGATATGGGATTAGATTAATTTACATTAAATAATAATTATTTTATTTGGTCGTGGCATATTCGTACAAAACTTTCGCCGTTGTATAACACTGAGAGCATTCGTGCGTGAAATAACGGACATTATAATAAACGTTGACAATGTCTCTTTGATAATATGTTAGAAAAAAGTAATTGTCATACTCTGATTATATGTTATTCATTATCAAACTGTTCGTTATAACGTCCGTTTTCTAAACGCATGTGTGTTCTTGGCCAGTTAATATTAACAGTTCTCATCAACATTACGAACTTCTATTGATTTTTGTGTGCGCAAAATTTCAATTACATACAATTTACTTTTACAAATTTGTTAAACTTCAAATGATAAAAGTGATTTTGAAAAATTATATTTGATTGTTTCAGTACGTTCAATAGGAGCATTATTTAAACAATTTATACATTTGGGCATTTACTTCTTACACATTAAGTGAACATTGAAAAGTGTAATGTGTATATTTATTAGTTTTGACATAAACAGTATATTTTACAGTGTTTTATAAAATTACAAAAATTATAGTTAAAATTTTGATGCTGTGCTAATAGTGTATTTTTGAATAAAACTTAATTTTTACATTTGTTTAATTGCATGGACAATATATGCTTGGTTCTGATTCCGTACAATAAACAACAATATATAAAGTACCAAAATTTATATTTTTATTAGGATAAATGATATATACATTATATATAAAACATATAGTAAAAGAAAAAGTGTATATAATATAATTATAACAAACCATGGAAAAGAAATGTGGAATTGTGTGGAATTATTACAATAAGAAGATGCTAGACTCTAAAGTGATTGCAGTTTGTAAATTTTGTAATCAGTTATATATTCAAAATGCTACTCTTATGGAACGTATGAAACGACACTTGGAGAAATGTCCAAAATGTCGAGAAGATATCAGACAGCAATTCATACAAGTAGCACATAGCAAACAATATAAAACTAGTAACATTGACAAGAAAATTAATGATGGATGGCTAAAACAAGAATCTTCAGTTGATCAGAATACAAACATACAGTTAGAAGATTTAGATGATTGGAATTATAAAAATCAATTACATTTAACTGAAACATCTAATGCAATTCAACAAAACATGGTTTTGGTAATGAAAAATAATGAACAGAATTGGGTAAATCAAGATAATGGCATTGAAAATAATGATACAGATATAAGTTCAGACAGTCAAAAGTGAAGAACATATCAGAATGATACAGGTACAAGTTCAGACAGTCAAAAGTGGAAAACAAATCAGAATGATACAGATACAAGTTCAGACAGTCAAATGTGGAAAACAAATCAGAATGATACAAGGATTGTTGCATCTGGTAATTTGAAAAACACATTTATGAAACATATAAATCTTTATTTTACTCTAGAGTTACTATTAGATTAGGTAAGAATATACAGCTAGATTCCAAATAGTTATTTGAAATGAGTTTCTAAGGTGCTTTTAACCATTTTACATAGCTGGACCTCAAGCACGGTCAAGTTTAGTTCACCAAAGAAAATCATATAATCCTAGAAGATTACCACAGTGGCCAGTTTCATCTACACACACATCTGATTGTTCACCTTTACAAAACAAAATATACCAAGAACAATTATTAGAAAGACGTGCCTTAAGGAAATCTGCAGAATTGGAAGTGCAATGTAAAGCATTAGAACTACAAAAATTTCAATGGGAGTATGAAAGAGATAAACTTCAAACTGAAGTTCGTTGGGCTCATGAAACTCGTATGATGCAACTTAAAGAGGAACGAGAAAAACAATTGACTGATTACAGTAGAATAAAAACAGTTTCACATGTTACATAATTAACTATAAATTACTTATTGACAATGAGTAATATTAACATATGCTTACATAATAGATAATTTTTATACTCAAGATTATCCTTAATTTTAAAAGATATTAAATAGATGATTAAAAGAGTGCAAAAGAATATATTGCCTATTTAGAATAAAATATGATTTACTTTTTATGTTCGTAAAAAGCGTCTTTGGTACTTTTTATTCACAATATTTTGGTACGTTTCATTCTAATATAAAATATGTAAATGCATAAATTACTATAAAGTGTTTTTGAGTAATATAAATTTTGTGTACTGCATTGAAAGACAAAATTTTTGTCTGACTTAGGTTAGAAATATATTTTAACAAAACTTCTTCTGTATTTTGATTCAATTTTTTGTATAAATAACATACATATATAATAGCATGTTCTTTCCTCTATTATAATGACAAAATTAAATCATAAATTTATGAAATTATATTTACTTTTTTATTTATTACATTAAATGTAATGTTACAGTTTTATTAGAACATAAGAACAAATATTACTTTAAAAAACTGAGGTAATATTGTTTATCATTTTAATTGCGAAAATTGGATTTCTTATTATTTAAATAAAGAATGAATAGAAGAATGATAAATATGGAAATATTGGTACTCTTATCAACAATTAAGAGATTAAATAAATGTTTAATAATCAAATTAGGTATAATTATAAGTTATATTACTAGCTTATATAAAGACATGTTTTTTAAAATTCTAAATAGTAAGATTTTTCTGTTTAGAAGAGGACGCAATTGCGAAACATGTTTATATTTTTTCCGATAGGATTCTAGGCGCAACATTTTTCTTTTAACAGAAGGTATAACAACTACTTTTAGCCCAAGAATGTCGCAATCCGGGAATGCAATGATCGGAAAATTAGATATAAACGATGAGAAATATTATTATGTTGGCGTTAAAGCCTCGCCATTTGCGTCCGATTGTATTGTCTTTGGTTTAAATTCGGACGAAATTTTGGCTCTCTCTAAGCGCTTTCCAAACTCCGGAACAGATGTGGTCAACGGCGTTATGATTAAAGGTTAATATTGTACACTTTTTACATTTTTTCACGAAATAACCGTGCGGTTACAAAGTGAATTATGAAATTTTTTTTCAACAAAATCTTT